TAGAATATTAGAAAAGAAAAGAGAAGAGAGAAGAGAAGAGCTAGAACAGAATATTAGAATAGAATAGAATAGAATAGAATAGAATAGAATAGAATAGAATAGAACAGAATGAAATAGGATAAGATAGAATAGCATAAGCAATAGAATAGAATAGAGTTAGAACAGAATAAAATTTTAGAATAGAATAGAATATAGAATATAGAGTAGAGACAGAATAGAATATTAGAATAGATTAGAAGATAGAATAGAATAAAATAGGATAAGATAGGATAGGATAAGATAAGGAATAGAATAGGATAGGATTTGGAAGGGCCCTTGATCCAGCCCTCTGCTCAGGCAAGAGACCTTATCCCATTTCAGGCAAGTGACTGGCCAGTCTCTTCTTTAAAACCTCCGGTGTTGGAGCATTCACAACCTCTGGAGGCAAGGAGTTCCACTGGTTAATTGTCCTCCCTGTCAGGTCATTCCTCCTTAGTTCTGAGTTGCTTCTCTCCTTGATGAGTTTCCATCCATTATTTCTCGTCCTGCCTTCAGGGGCTTTGAAGAATAGATGGACACCCCACTCCCTTCTTTGGGGCAGCCCCTCAAATACTGGAAAGACTGCGATCCTGTCACCCCGAGTCTTTCCTTTCGCTAAACTAGACCTACTCCGTTCCTGCGTTGTTCTTTTTTATTTGGCACGGCGTGGACTTTGGGTCTGAAAACCCTGGTGAGTTAACAGCTGCAGTTCAAGAGTTCAATGTTTATTCCTGGGCTTTGTCAACAAAGACCTCACCTTTTTTTTCCAATATGACAGCTCCTTGGGTCAAATATGCTGTCGGGTCATATATCAATCAAGGGGTTTCCTCAGAGAAGAAACACCAAGCTGACTTGGCTTTTTCAGCCAGATGTCAGGTGGAATTTCCCCGTCATCCAGCTCATGGTTTTTCCAAAGGGGTTTTATTTTTCATTTTCAAAGAGGCAGCTGGACTTTCTGGTTTTTCTCTGAAGGCCTTTCGCTTCGCATCCAAGAAGCGGAAGACTTCAGAAAATCTTTATATGCGGGTTGTTCCCGACTGAAGAAAATAGAAAATAGAAAGAACTGAATTAAATTGAGTAGCAGAATAGAATAGAATAGAAATAAAACTAGAATAGGATAGAATAGAAAACAGGAAGAATAGAATAGAAATAAAAATAGAATAGAATAGAATAGAATAGAATAGAAATAAAACTATGTATAAAACAATAGAATAGAATTAGAACAGAATAAAATAGAACAGAACAAAACAGAACAGAACACAAGAAGAATAGAATAGAAAATAGAAAGAATAGGATAAAAAGTAGAATAGAATAGAATTGAATAGCAGAATAGAATAGGAATAAAACTAGAATAGAATAGAATTTAATAGAAAACAGGAAGAATAGAATAGAAAACAGAACAGAAAATTGAATTGAATTGAATAGCAGAATAGAACAGAATAGAAATAAAACTGGAATAGAATAGAATAGAAAACAGGAAGAACAGAATAGAAAATAGAAAGAATTGAAATGAATGGCAGAATAGAATAGAAATAAAATTAGAATAGAATGGAATAGAAAGAAAATAGAAAGAATAGAAAATAGAATAGAATTGAATTGAATAGCAGAACAGAATTGAAATAAAACTAGAATAGAATAGAAAACAGGAAGAACAGAATAGAAATAGAAATAGAAAAGAGTGGAATAAAATGGAATGGAATTCTTTTATTGGCCAAATGGGATTGGACACACAAGGAATTTGCCTTCGGTGCCGAAGCTCTCAGTGTAGATGAAAAATACATCCATCAAGAATGGGGGTGCAGGATGTGCACTCATATGCAGGGTTGAAGGCGCATGCATGGAGACGGGGCACATGTACAGGGGGATGTGCATGTATTGCATTTTGGGGATGCGCGCGCTTTGAGCCCTCGGTGCCGAAAAGCTATACATCACGGGTATAGGGTCACCCTGCATGAGTCGGGGGTGGGTGGGGTTGGACTAGTAGACCTCCAAAGTCCCTTCCGACTCTGTTATTCTGTTCATACACAAGTCCCCTCTCGCTGATGCTTGCATGGCTCTTCTTGCGCACTGGAAAAGTCGAGTTGGGTGAGCCCTGCCGTCCTTTCTGCGGCCACGCGTTTCCATGATTCTGAAGTCCGCGGTTCCATACGTGGAATCTTGGAAATCTTCCTGTAACAGCTCCAACTGTCACTCCAAAACTTAATTCAGGTGGCTGAATGACTCGCCACTGTAGTCCCCCAAATAGATGGAAGGTGTGCTGGCCGCACCTCATGTCTACCAAGGAAGGACCGTGGATCGTTG